GCATACATGGCTGGGATACGATGACGATATTTACGTATAAATCAGCCGCAAAACAGTAAACCTCCTTAAACCGCCTTACTAGACAGTACAAAAGTATTTCGACAAATAGACACATTTGCATAGCAATGCGGTTTTCATAAAACACTCAGCCGAATATCTCATTTATGATATCCTTCACCTGGATGTGCTGAATAAAGGCCGCCTCATGTGTCAGTTGGTACCATACCCGATATATCGTAGTATGTTTTCATAAAGAAAACTACTCACAAGTCGCTGAAAACTCTTCGACACCAACCTTGTGAGTGGTTTCCTTTATTAAAATACAGCAGTGTCATATTCATCATGGGAACTGAAAGTTATTTATAGATTAGCTGTTAACGTCAATCATTGATTCCCCGGCGTAATTCACAGAAAAACCATACAAACGACATGTGTCCATATTAGGAGTCCTCGCATGTGCACCATGTCATACACGCAGATGTCCGATTCTTAGAAAATTATATCAAGAAGCTATTTCCGGATGGATCCATACAAACAGATGAATTAGAATGATTCAGTAGGGTGGTAGAGCAAGGTAAATACTCCGCCCTCCAGACTCACTGGTCAATGATCGTTGCGAACACTCTCCGAATCTGCCAGACGGGGAGTCAAAAATCCTTTGGTCACTGTGGGAACGTCATCCAGCAAGTGCTTCGTGATTACGGTATGAAAACATCCTTCCTAATCGAAGATACCTTACGGCGACATTTCGTAAAAGCTAAGGGTGTCAACAACCGAAAACTGGGTCTACCGAATTAATTGTCCACAATGTCTCAGGTCAGACATCGAAGCAACTCCACGCACAAATTACGGTGCACAAACGGTATGCAGGATTCCCCCCACGAAAACCAAATGGGATTAAAAACTGAACGCGACTAAACCATTACACTTCACAAACGCTAGTCAAACTGTTGCATCGATTTTGATGTCACGTGCACACTGCAGTCGGGATTCAGGTTGCACGTGGAGCGTACGTGTTCCGAAGATCAGCACACATCCGAACTGTCAACGTTAGTGATCGGTCCAACCTTCCGTTTACCTTGCTTGGGCCTACTGCACAAAGTAACGAACACGGCAGCCAGACTTCGAACAGGAATTTCAACATTGACGTATCCTCGCCGACAAAACAACAAACTTAGCCACATTCCAGTCTAAGCATACGGACAATGACACGTACACGCTGTGTTTGACTGATAGTCGATCTCAGATACACTTTACTCAGAAGATATGGTGGCTGTATTTGGTCTGTATTCAGCTGATTGCGAAAATCCTTGAACCACAGGACCATTACACTGTGTTTCACAAGAATACAACAAGTACGATTTTCTATTCCCGTGAGACTTTCCACCGTGAAATGTGGAGTGCTCTACGTACACACCATTTTGGACTTTCGACAGATGTTCTTCAACATTCAATCACCGATGGATTGGTTTTATCAGGACAATCAATTGAGTTGTCTCCTAGACCTGTCATGTAAGTTAATTCCTCGCTCATCTAACATGTTGAAATGAGGACTCAAGTAAACGTGTCCTAAAAGCAAACGCACACGTGCTTAAGGATACGAACCGCCGACTTCCCACTTATCGGACGGTTACTCTACCGTCCTCATACGTGTCCTTCGTTCATGCTACTTGCACCTGTGCTCTCATTTCAACATCTATTAAATCGCCTTCCAATACCTAACATTATTCTAGTATGATTAGGTCAGTTCTCCGTCTTTCAAAACATGTTCAGCGTTCGACCTATACACTCACCTGCATACCAATTGGGTTTTGACAGCAGACTCAGCTGGAACCCAGCTGAATCCCTCGTTTATGATGTTTAAATAGAACATATGGTTAATGGAAACTCGAGAAGTGCGCCTATTTGATGAGTCGCGATCTGTCAAAGAGTTTTCAACAACCTTATGGGTAGCGCATTACGTCCAAAGTTTCAGCGTTATTAGCTGAACAGACCACAAGAAACTTTGAGACCAGCCGATTGATGGTCACTTGATGTTGTCCTACGGTAACAAAATTCACCTCGCACCAAATATGGACGAGCTAAGGATATTTTCATCCTAAGCAACTGCCCTTATTAAAGACCACAAAATGGCTTCAACAACATACACTGAGGAATAATAGCCTTACAGAGTTTTATGCTAATGATATTCTTTCTTTGACATTCCAAGTGATGCGCTCGAAAAACCTCATTTTATGTTTATATGACTGGGATCGAATCAAAGTTTTATGCGGTAGTTTGAAGGGCCTGCATAAAAGCATGTTTGTGACTTACTTAGAGTTTGGGTATCTTGCTGCATTCAAGAGCTATGATCCATCAGATCAGACTGATCGGATAAGAGGAGCTCGTATACCTTATTCAAAAAGTTCTAGCGTAGATGAAACAACAACGGCAGAAGTGTTTGGGCTGTCACATGTTCTGCCAGCAAATTGTCACCGCGAAATCATCGGAATCCAGATAGCCGTACACTTACCAGTGACGAACCAGAGACTTATGCATTCAGAAAAATAAACGGCTATTTAGTTATTGAGTTCTTCACTCAATTTCTTCACATCAAACATACGTAGACACAGAGCACATACAATGTTGACTGCCAGATAATCGTATTGATAAGAGCATCATTTCGAATCTGGTCTGACTTTGGCTGCATTGATTTTTTACCCAAGCGCACGCAACCACTTAAATCAAGTCTCTTACAAACTCATCCACGGTGGTCGTTAATCGTAGAGGTCTCTGGTGGGCCAAACTGACGATTCTCCCGCCTACTTTGCGCGATATATTCGTATTCAACGACCCAGTGTCGTATTTCATACGCATGGCTTGGGGGCATGACGCGGCTCCGCAAGCGTACCTCATGTTCTCGAAACGACTTTTGGGTTTTTATAAAGCAAACTACTCACAAGTTGCTGAAAACTCTTCGACAGCCCGCCACCGGTTACGCCCTTCATGGGGCTCATAAGGTAGGCGCAGCTGAGTTTATTCTTTAACCTGAATTCCAAGAACAAGCCAATGAGTTGCACCTTCGAGCGTCTACTGATTCCAAAACGGTGTTCCCCCCTCCCCCGTAACACTGCATCCTCAAAATCCGTTCTCTCGGCCCGGTTTTTCGATTATCCAATCCGGAACCGGTATTTTCTCTCCAATGTGCACACGTACACACCTGTGTTTAGCTCATGCATCACGTGACACAATGGACATCACCCCCCTCGGGTTGTGGGGTGCCTGACGGACGAGCGCGAATCACACGTTCAACACCGACTCAGCTGAGTCAGCCGATCCGGGGTGCACCGTGCATCCGATCGCTTCAGGGATGCCGCATGGACAGTCCGTTGAACTGGCACACGTGGAACGCCGCTAATTTAGCGGTGAGCGCGCACAGACAAGCACGTCTGGTGTGTAGACTATGGAAGCACCAGGGGACAGAGTTTCACTGACACAGGGGTTAGCGTCAATTTATGTGGATAGAAAGCAGAGAAAGAGCTCATGAGCCAAACCCAAGCAAGCAGGCTTGTACATCACCCACCCCCAATGTAGGCGCTCTCTGCTACACACTGTGAACGAAACCGATACAAGCTCGTCAGCCGAATGACCGACAGCTATCGGTGACCTTTATATGTGGCCAGGACACGACAGAGAACACCCGATGGTCGGAGCACTACCATCGATAAAACACTTTATTTGGAAGATCCTTACTGAATGGTGTCGTCAGCCTACAGGAAACATAGGTGAGGAGTCAGGTTCAGCGCTGCAGCACCTGATTGTGTCCACCGAAAAGAGACCCAACATCTCTCAACAGGTTGCTAACTTAAAACGGGAGTTTTGAATACTATCCATATTATCGATGAGAACTCTGGACAGTCCATTACTGTTTTCGCTGTTCTTAGGACTCAGCATATAGCCTCAACCTCCGAAACCCTGTCCACCTAATTTGCTACTTCAACCATAAAGTTGTACTATATTACACCAAACACTCATTTGCTTCGTGCTAATCCATTTCATATCCACGATGTTTTATTATGGTCGAGGTTGTCTAATTGTTAGGATTTTGAAACAGGGCAAAAGTTAGCAGTGACTTTTGATAAGAAAACCACATTGACCATTCAGGTGAGATGGTGGATACCAATACCGACGATGGTGACAATTGCCTGGCTGGTTGCTCCAGGATCTTCCACGCTAGCCACAGTGCTTGAATAGGCATGGTAAAAAACTAGCGCTGAAGAGAAAATCTTGCCCGACTTGAGCAAATAAACTAGCTTTGGTCGAAGGGCTACTCGGTGTCCCATCTTGGAGGTAGGTGGATGGTAGAGTTGAGTCGACCGAGCTTTCGAAGTACGGGTTGACCGGTTTCGGACCCAGTAATCGCGCAAGCTCTTCAAACCGACGAGAAGCGTTAGACATGATTGTCAGGGCACACCCAGACAGAAGGATAAGCACATATGCAGAGAGTGACGCATTCCCAAGGTCACCATCGGTACGACACGTCCGGAAAGTAGGTGAGTCGGCGGCTCCCACCAAACACGACTTAGCAACTGACGACCAGCGTAGTGGGCCTGAGAGTGTTCACGACCGGAACACCAGCATTGGCTGTACGGAGCGAACAAGTGAACGACCATATTTGGCCGATTAGTCATCCTATATATTTACGCAGACGCTCTGTACGTTTTGTTCTGGCAATACAGCCATGTCCCCAGTACTCTGTCTTCTCCCTATCGCGTAGTCTGGCAGGCTCAGTGCAAGCGTAACCTATAGACGGCCACCCACAATACGACAATGATCTTGACAAGTACGGAACATGGTACGGCTGGGCCAAACCAGGAACCAGGGAGCTGAACGATTAGTTTTACTTTTATATTTAATTAGTCGAATCATTTTCTTCGAGAAAAAAGACACTAATCACAACTAGCAAAAGGACAACAGAATACTAGTGAAAGACGTAATGGCAGAAGGAACAAAACAGCAAATTATCCATCATCATCCTTGATTTCAATGAGGCTTTCCATGACTGGATTTGTCGTTTTTTTTGCCGTATGGATTGACAAAGTTTGCGGTAGACGTTCCAGCAGGTCGCTGAGATCTCCTGGAGACCGGCAAGAGAAGCCAACAGCGCAACTAGGGTCCTATTCAGCTGCCTCATTCACCCGAGGCACCAGAGAGTGCCACTTCTTTACACTGAATTCTTCGGAATCCACAACGTTCCGCAAAACGGACTGTGTAAAGTGAGGATAGAGATGGATCAACAGCGTATTCTGACTGCCCAAAATATAAATGGAATGTTTTGGGCGGCCTTCAATGATACCGACGAAGCAAGGATCACGAACGAGGCGACACACGGAGTTGTGGATAGAGATGGATCAACAGCGTATTCTGACTGCCCAAAATATAAATGGAATGTTTTGGGCGGCCTTCAATGATACCGACGAAGCAAGGATCACGAACGAGGCGACACACCATCGGAGTTGTGATGTATAATCTCCATCAAGCGCAGTTGATACGTCCGACGCAGATAATAAAGCAATACCATACAGGGGTATGAAGGACTAGGAAAACTCATCAAGAGGTACTCGACTAACGGACGAAATGATGTCGCTGCAGCACCGACATCCATGAACTAATATACACGACAGAGAACCGTATACGTAGCTCTCTCTCTATGAATATAGCCCTTGTCAACCTCTTTCTTAAACTTTAAAAGGTTTGAAAATGTCGTATTATTGGCTGGTTGTTGAAACATGGTGCGATAGACAGCTGTTTGGTTTACTGGACAAAATTGGACATTCTAGTAAAATTGTGGACTCTGTATTGTTCTAGATTTAAAAAATATCGATCTCAAGCAGGCTTTAGAGCGGAACAGGTCCTCCTCTTTGGCTGCATAAAAGTGCTCAGGTGAGTCATTTTCGCATCTCATTTGGGTTATCACTCAATCAGCGAAGATTTCTGGGCATTCTTGTTTACTGGGTTGAAACTTCACATGGACCGATTCTAACCAGCTTTCCACTCTGGTGTCATCTGGTAGGCCAACTGATGGATTTGTAGATAATAACTTTAGCAATCAATCGTTCCATTGACCTCCGTGGGGATATTTCATGTTAGAGGAGAGACTTCATCACTGGGGATTCGCAGTTGTTATATTGATGATAGGCTTTCCTTCAACTAGATCAGAGTCCACTTGAGCACCCGATTTAGCTCAGTGACATGAACTTATTGGCCGAAAGGTCTGTGGTTCGAATCCAACCGTGGCATCTCGACTGTTCCTGTCTACGCTTGGGCAACCTTGCAGAATCCCAGTCCTCGTGCTTCCTTCGGGTTTTGGGAGCTATATACGGAAAGGGCGTCGTACCTGAACGATTATTTTTATTATTTTATTGTTATTATTATTTTTACTAGATTTCACTGACCCCTCCCAGAATTTCAAGCTCATGGAATTCAACACTTCTGGTTCGGCTAATTCGCTCTCCTCGGGCGTTACGGGATAAAGGTGGTCGACAGATCGAATAATGGTCGTTGACTTGTTCGCTGAGCTGGGCAATTTGGCTGCAAACGTTTCACCACCAATCAAGGTGACATCATCAGTGCGTGGCTGTGGGTTAGTGGTTGTGAATTTGATGGATACGTGGTTCTTACTGACCTCTTGTTGAATGTAGTCAGTCCAGTTCTGCTCCATTAAGTAAAACCACAAAAGTGTCATCTACGTATCGACGATGGTACTTTGTCTACTTTATGGTTGCTTTCAGAGAACCATTCTCTAGTTTACTCAGGGAACTATCGGGGCCAGTGTCGAACCCATAGCGATGCCATCAATTGGGTGGCAGGACGTGCCGTTGCACATCCAGTGTGCACCACAAGAGCGCTGACGATTTAACGTTTCTCGCCCCAATGTAATTACACAGGCAACTAACAATTTCAGTCAAGGGGCATTGAAGATNACGCATGAATGAACCGCTCAGTTCTAGATACTTTACTGAAGCCTGCGGAACCTCACAGTTCAAATGTGTGACAACTGCACTAAAGTCAGATACAAAGACACGGGTCAACAGGGAATCACATGCAGAAACTATCTTGGACACGTGCTGATCAGAACACCATGAGACATGCTCATCGGAGTGACCTAGTCACGTAACTCCCAGCCTGAAATTCGTTCCAACTGTCTGTCCGAATCTGGACAAAAAAACAAAGTTATGTTCAGCTTTACGTTGGGTCTGTGGCGACGAATGCAATACGTAAGCAAACAGTTAACTGTCTGTCGTGTAAATAACCAGTCGAAGATCGCATTGAACAGAACAGGGGAACAGTGACAGCACTGATGCAACACTGAACTGACTTATTGTTTTAGCATTAGGCTGGGAGATTTGTTAACTTTCCTGACTCATCACTGATCCTAATGAGGAAACGACAGGCCCTGCGCTAACATGAGTTAGATTTTAAAAGGTTACTTACAAAAACACAATATGTTTAGTCTTCTCATACTGACAGACTCTTTGCAAAGAGGGTAAACTCACACACAACGAACCAGTCAAGATTGTGGACTACATCAAATCCAACAAACCCTTATTTTTTTTTCAAATTCAAAGCGACGAAGTGAGCTAAATGAAGCCATCCGAAACTAGCTGACTGGAGTCCATTCTTCACATCATTTCCATCGATTCTAAGAAGCCTAACCAAAAGACCTGCCATTTTCGTATATTGGCTGTTGATGTACGTTCCAGCACTATGCCTGTCACGGTAAATCAGTCATGTCACCGGCTCTTCATAGTTGTTCAGTTTTATCACCTAATGTCGGATGAGTGTGCAAGTGTTATGAAGATGAAGATTTCCGATTGGGGAGTAGCTCATCCCTGGACCTCATCATGACCTGGACGAGAAAAGATGTACAACTGAGGTGTCTTTTGCAGGTTCATGCTTGGGCAAGTTTGTGCTTTGACTAGAAAATTCAAAGACTTTGTGCTACAGCATCATCGGGATTGAGTCGTTTTCAAAAGTCTTTTGAGTCCGACAGGTATCTACTATATACGCTGCGCCTAATTCGCTACCGTTTCTCGCAGACGAGAAGAGGCAATTCTGGTGTTACTAAGGCCATCAGGGCTGATCTGATGACGGGTCAGATGCCTGCTGAGGCGAGATGGACCGAGAGAGGGCGAAGCGAATTTCCTGACCGGAAGGTCCGTGGTTCGAACCCGACCTCTGCCTCCCGATTTTCCCTGTCTAGACTTGGGCAACCTGGCAGTATCTGAGCCCTCGTGTGGCATGGCAGTTAGGCACCGAAAAAGTGCTACAGCTGAACGATTTTCAGATGCCTGCTAAGGAGCTCAGTGCACTTGTGGCTATTGCAACTTCCATGGTTCCGTTACTGGCGCATGCAGTAACTAAACATTCACCTGGATTAACGTTGGATAACAGGACAATTCTGATCGCCAACGGATGAACAAAGCCGGATGCGATGCGACCCACTGTAGGCGGCTATTCACTCAGACTTCCAAGCTTAGAAGCAGCCGTCCAAGTCTTGAGTGATGTTGCGTCTCTGATGATCGGGGGAGGGTATACATTAAAACCAGATCGGTTGGACTGTCCTGATGGTTGCGGTCATAATAGTTCTGCTTTACTTCAAATGCTTTTCCGGTGTGATTCAGGTTAAGGACCGCGTGGAGACGTAGCACTGTTTAGGTAGTCAAACTGGAAGCATAAACATACCGGTGGCTGGCTATTACTACACCATCCTCGATTGTTTCGAGTAGTTTCACCAATCCGACTCTATTTCGCCACGGTGCAGTAAAATTATCTAAACGTTATCTCGACCGCGAAAGTGCACCGGGACGATACCATCAGTTTCAACCGGCATTCAGGATTGAATTTCCGAAAGCTATGACGTGTCCCTGATGAACCAAAGCGATCGGGTAACTGAGTTCAGAGTACCAGTCCAAATTTTCGAGCCCTATTTAGGCATCCCGGGGTCTCAGTGATGCTGGGAAATTACTCCACCAGACTTTTCGGCCAGAGGTATACCTGTTTTAGTGGACAGTGAAATTTGTTGAGCTGCGAAAATATGGACGTAGATTAGGACGGTTTTTTGGTTTGAGAACATATGCAACAAAATGCAACATTCTGGTGTAAAAAGTTTTACTCCACTCTTAAAGGTTTTGCAGCTAAGAACATTGTGGGGCTAATGGGCCTCGTTTCAAATTCACTCTCTTGTTAGTCAACTCGAACAGTAAAGCTGCTCTGGTCACACCGGCACCGTAGCTGTTCGAGGTGAGCGAAGTCAACCAACGCGTGGATAAAAGAAGTGGAGGCTTAGGAATGCGATTTAAGAGGTTTGTTTACGCCATGCACGTTGGGAACGTACCCTTAAGCAGGGTCACGACTCTCATACCAATGGAACCTACAAACTGCCAGTGTTTTGCACCTTAAAGCTTATGTGTTCGGTAAGCCTCCGTCTTTTTATTCTACAAATCACCGATGTGCGCAATCCTAACGCTACATTGTGTGCACCTCATACTAGTCAGAACACCAATAGACAACCTGGCGACAAACACCGATGCGCACACATTCTCACAAGCCAGCAAACGGTCTCACCACGCTAAGCGCATTGCAAGAAGGACCGTAGAAACTCGGTTGAGTGATGGTGGCAGTACGTTCAGTAGATCAGCTGAAGTAGGACTAATGACCATGTCTTAACTACGACGGTAGGAATGACGGCAGATTTCGATGTTATACGGTGTGGTCCACCTGGCCAACGGATACATGTCTTCTAGATGTCGTTTACACATTGTGGCTGCAACAGCGGAACCAGTAACACCACGGATTGGGACGCATTAAACGCGTGTTGCACTAGAAGAGGTTCAGTTGGACCGTGTGACGGCTGCGTGCAGACTTCGGAAACTCGAACAGTGCTGGCAAGACTTGAGTGGCACGATCGATGCGTCTGAGTTTCGGAAATACAAGAAGTGTTTTAGGAGAGGCGAAGATAAGTCACCTGTTTTTCGGCAAACATGCCATAAAGAGTAAGTCTAAGTTACACATGGCACACCAGCTGTAACAGTGACATCTGGGGCGGCCATTTACCCTATCTGGAGAGCCGCAACACGATCAATGAAGTGATCCTCTACTGGCGCAACACATGTGTCAAATGCGTCCCAATCCGGGGTTTGGCATACAATCACAATCGGTCGCTGGTTCCACTGTTGAAACCAAGAGACTGAGCATGCAGATGACATCTAGAAAACATGTATTCGTTGGCCAGATCGACGACGCTGCACAACATCGCAATCTATCGTCATTCCTATCATCACAGTTAAGACATAGCCAGTAGGTTCCACATCAGCTGGCCTACTGAATGTATTAAGGGCAGCTTTACTAGCGTCGACAGTACAAAGTCATAATGGGTTTTCCAACCATGCCAAGGAAAATCACTCCCATATCCTTATGCGCACTTGGCATGCTAGCAAAAACTAAACCAGTTACATGGTATGACTTCACACAATGGTTTATGTTATATTGGCAGCGGTTCAAATCTCAAAAGATAAGTCACGCGTTGACAACGTATCGATGATTTGAAAGGACCTGAAAACTACGTTTAATTCATTATAACTTGATCCACTGACAAGATGTTTGTACTGAAATTCAAGCCTGCAAGCACTGTTTGTTTAAAGCTATTTCGAATAAAAATGTGCTTCAGAAAGTTGGTAGTCGATCAGCGAGTCTCACACTTACTCCTGCACGGTTCCTGTAGTAAACAGCTTGCGAATGGGGAAAGTCAAGCGCTCTTAAGCGAACTACCATGCGAGTGACAAGATTGCATCAAACATTCGATGAAGGGATTAAGTAAGGTTTACGATCAGATATCAGACTAAATGTTCGTCAGAAATTCCAATCTATCAACTTGTCCCCACCCTTTGGTGAATAATATAGAATGCAGTCCATCAACATTCGGCTGTATAGCAAAGTAAAATCAGGATCACAACTGCAGTCAAGATTTATATGGAGTATCACAGAAAATAAGAATGGTGAGGAGCATTCGTGGTGCAGTTTCACCACTTCGCGTTTCTCCTCGTAGCAACTAGCTCCAGAAAGTCCCGATGATTGGCATAGAGGTTTATTTCAGATCCAACGTCCATCCACCGGACTTTTTTGGCATCATCCCCTGGAACGAAAAGACAGGCCCGGTTAAGATTAGTCAAATGGAGAAAAATACGCGGAAGAACAAAAAGAGCTTTTGGAATTGAAATTTGAGAGGATTATTAGTGGTGCCTTTGGTATCTCAAGCGGTCACATGATGTATTTCCGACGATACTTTGTTTGAAGATCCCTGATGCAGGTATCGGATGCACAAGGGTGCCGCACGAACCAGTGTCTCGCTTTGTAACTTGCTGGATGATAGTACAACTTTGTATCGGTCCCTTGAGAAATTTGAGAGGATTATTAGTGGTGCCTTTGGTATCTCAAGCGGTCACATGATGTATTTCCGACGATACTTTGTTTGAAGATCCCTGATGCAGGTATCGGATGCACAAGGGTGCCGCACGAACCAGTGTCTCGCTTTGTAACTTGCTGGATGATAGTACAACTTTGTACCGGTCCCTTGACTTCCGGCTCCGCCCACTATGGTATATCAAAAGGCACGGTAGCTCTACACAGCCCTTTATGGAGACAAAAGGAGAATCGTTACAGCTGTATTTATAGGGTAGTCACAGAGTGTTCCACAAGGTCGTGCCAGAATCTCCGTGAGGGGGCGAGAAGCGTCGGATCGACCGGCATTCCGACCAATCAGGGCATCCCTTCGTTTGGCTCGTGTCCTGCAAGTGACACATCCGTCCAAATGATGTGATGTTCGGTTATTAGGGACGGCTTTTCTCCGTACACTTAGTCACTCGTCGAAGACGCAAATGGGGTTCACGGCGTGTTAGTGGTGTAGTTGGTAAATAACTGCCCTTCTCAGTCAGACTGCTCAGTACCGTGGATTGTGTTGCTTTGCTCTATGACTGAGCAGAAAACGAAGAGCTGTGTGATATGGAACACCTCTACGGCAGCACCATCGCATCAGTTAAAAAACTCTCATGATTGGTCGACAGAGTTTTCTCCCAACCTTTGTGAACTAAAATTCCGTTGGAAATGTTGAAATATGGGTAAATTGGGTTCTCCGCCAGACTTTTGGTTTGTCCCCGAGTTTGGAAATCGGATTGCAAACGTCTTGTCGCCAATCGAGAAAATATCACAATTGGTTGTTGCTGATGGACCATGCTTTATTTCGCCTTCATTAGAGATCCGCTTTAACTCGCGAGGTTGGTGGCTCACGTTTTCCCTCTGATTTCAAAGACCGTCCTCCTAACACTATCTGCGGCCGTCGAATACTAGCCATTCGGATACCGGATGCTTGGCCAAATTGAACCGGAATAGCAAGCCCACAAAATCCCAGATATTCTTAGGAAAAAATCGCCAGAAAACAGCGACTAAGTGAGCCAGGCAGAGTTACAAACAGTCTCACCTTACACGACACAAGTACTGTGTCACCCCTACCAAGAGGAAAACCGTTGCACCGTACCGTTTGTTCTCCCGGGCGTTTCAACACACGTCGATAATTTCGGACAAGGAGATAGTGATCGAAACCCCAAAGTGTCGTCCTACTTATAAAGCGGTCAACAGCCACAGGATATTGATGTTCCACTCTGTAAGCGAGATTGGCCTTCGCCGAAGGGTCGAGAGGCGCCGTAAGGCTGTCTCGTCCTTCTTGAAAATCATCAAAGTTGCGCATCTCACCAACATCTACAAGGACTTAGGCTTTCGGATTTTCGGTTATTAGCCGAAGATCATTCCGTACGAATGGCCAAGCAACAGTGGAATTCCCAACCTTCGTACAGTATCCACTTGGTTTTCAGCATAGACTGACTTCAATCAAAGCTTCAAAATACTCCCACTACCTATGGATCTCAAGATCCGTCGAACATTTTGAGAAAGGGTGTGAGAACAGCATATTCAACGCTTCGACTACCCAGCGGCAGTCCTCTGGAATGTCACGACCGAACTTCGAAGTAACCGGAGAAGTTATCGTTAAAATATCAGTACGCATGATATCAGAATAGCGTACTTTGTCAACTCGACCTAAGTGTACTTGGTGTGTCTCACTAATTTTGAAAGGCCTTGTGCAGCTGTTATTTGTGAACGAATATAGGATAAGTACTAAGCGCCGTTGAGGATGAGCACAGTTTTACCAGCAAACTCCGCTAGCACAGCTTTCAATTTTTATGTTCGATTTCTAGAATTTTAGACGCGGTCAGGTTTCACTAGGTGCTCACTTATAGTGATTCCCGATCAGAATAAAACAGATGCACAGGGCTTCTCGGTTCTACAACTTATTTTCACACGTATTTATATGAAGAAGGTGATAGTTCTAGAAAAGTGTCAGCACCTTGGAACAATATCAGGATGACGATGACAACGTAGGGCGAAGGTAAAAAGGAGTTTTAAACACAAGATCGCAAGCACGCTTACTAACCCCGTTTGCGGTAGCTTTATGCAACTGAAGGTGAATGCTCAGCTAAAAGAGGTATTTAAAGAAATGGGAAGATGACATCCAATGCATCAAAGGAGTTATCTAGAATGGATTATACATTACATTCATCGAAGTTCCGTGGGATCAATTTACTTGAAAAGATGACGAGTGGGAACTAATTACTTACCAGCCTTAAGGTCGAATTTTGCAATACGATCACCAGTTTCGTCATGGAAATTCACTGCAATGGTCTCCATCCAGGCGTTATCTGTATTGCGGGGGTCATCAACGTAGCCTTTGTAAATCTGCATAAAATAAGGGAACAATTAAGTTATTATAACAGCGTGTAGATGTGAACGAAACCATCAAGGATTGGAGTAGAGTGAGCATCGTGAATAAAAGATGCCTTGACCGGTGGGCCTAATACATCGAACAACAGTTACTCTGGATACCAGCTGCCATTCACCTGGAGCGCACCGTTGACGTAGAACTCTGAACGGTGAGGCGCGAACCCTCTACGGCCTCGGAAGTTCATGACTGCATATGTTCTCTCAACCTTCACCGAACTTCTGGTTCGGGTAATTTCTCACCCAATGTTCAAAAATGGAGGTAAAATCATCACTCAGCGCTTGTCTGATCTGTTTACCTGCATTTGTGAAAAGGGGACTGTGGCAAACAACTGGGAAGAGTAGGCGATAGTGCCCAGTTTCAAAAAAAGAGGCTCATAGTGAGTACAGTAACCAAAAGAGGATCAGCCTAACCCCACTTGTAACGAGACTGATCATGTTACTTGTGCTTCGTTGCCTTATGGTGGCTCGTGAAACACTGACCCGAGAGCGTTAAGCGGGATTCCGTCTGGTAGGGGTTGCGTTGACCAAACCTGTGCACTGCGTCAGGTACTAGAACAGTGTTACACAAGCAAACGACCAACTATATTAGTGTTCCTGGATTTCCAAGGCGCATCCGACTCGTTTGACGGTTTGTTCTTATTGATACGCTTCCTCATCAAGGAATGCCACGGAAGTTTATGAACGTAATAGGTTCTTGGTGTTCTCAGACTTCCGGACTTGCGAGAGTATACGGAGAGCTCTCCAAGAGCTTCCGTACACAAAGCGGTGTCTGCCAAGGATTCTCACTCTCTGCTTTCCTATTTATTTTCGTGATCGATGAGATAATGAGCCGAACCCTGGAAGGTCTTCAAAACCCCGGTCTTCAAAAAGCCTCTAGCGACAACCATGTCAATCTGGAATATGCAGACAATATTGCTCTCGTCTTCGAAGAGACAGAGAAGGTTCAAATGTTTTTGAATTAACTGGCCAAAGTCATCCCGTCCTTTGCACTTTGCACCCGCAAATTGTAAGGTCGTGTTGCTGGACATGCAGTCGCTGAACACGCCATTTACAAAATCAGGGAGAGGCACTGAAAGTTGTGGAGCATTTTACGTACTTTGGAATTTGTATTACTTCCGATTGTAGTCTGACTGATGGGGTGAATGCATGAATGTGCAAGGCTCGGGGCACGTTTGCTAATTTGAGGCACTTATGGCTGAGTCTCAAGGGACTTGCGGATCAGGCTACAGTACGAGCTGTCTTGTTGTATAGCTGTGGGACTTGGCCTGTTCGAGCGGCGGAACTGAGACGTCTTCGGGTGCTCGACAACCGTTGCCTCAGGGTCACAGCTCGTGCGGGTTGGTGTCGACGAATCCGTAACGAGGCAATTAGAAAGTGAGTTTTCGGTTGTGCAACGGGAACTTCCATTGAAGTATGTGCCCAGCACCAGAAGCTGCGCTGGTTAGGCCATGTATTGCGTATGCCGAAGAAAGCGCTGTTTTTTGTGCCCAATTCAAAGTGGCGGAAGCAGAGGGGTTGAAAGAGATCATGAAACGTTTGGGTGCTGCAGATGCAACTCACCTTCCAGGATGGGGACCGCGTGATTCCCACTGTGTCCGATTGGAGACGCTGCAATACATGGTTGCCAATAGATGTCAATGGTGTTGTTGTTGTCAGTTTCTATCCAGATTGCCTGAGCGTGTCTGGAGGTGTGTTCGGGGGCCAGGCGTCCCTAATAACTGAACAGCACATCATTTGGACGCATGTGTCACGTGCAGGACATGGGCCAAACGAAGGCATGCCCTGATTGGTCAGAATGCCAGCCAATCCGGGTCAAGCATCCTTGACTGGACGCTCCTCGTCCCTCACGGAGATTCTGGCACGACCTTCTGGAACACTCTGTGACTACCCTATAAATACAGTTGTAATAATTTTCCTTTGTCTCCATAAAGGGCTACCGTGCCTTTTGATATACCATAGTGGGCGAAGCAGGAAGCCAAGGGACCGTTCAGCAAGCCGCAAGGTGTAGGCACATCGGAGTGATTATAGTGAGCTTGCACTAAGTCCCTTCCCCATCTGCCTTTATTCTTCTCTTCACAATTAGGCTTTCAATTAATCATGGTTGTAATGGCAGCGAAGCCTCAGTGTTGAACACTGATGTCATGCTGTCGATAATGGTGATGACAACCCTCAGAAGAAACTCACACGGCACACCAGCGCTGACAATCACGAAAGCCGCTTCCAAGACCGGCGTTAAAGATGGGAGAAACCTTGTATAAGGACAGTCATGCTTAGCGTCAATGACGATTTCAAAACCGTTTAAAGTTGCTTCACAGATGCACAAGTTCGCTAATGTTCTATTGTGCTAGGTTCAAACACGGCTCACAGACTGTGGTGAATAGCTATACCCACCATGGATGGTTCAGGGTGCCCCGCAGTTGGACAGAACCGGAACCTATGGGAATCGAAAGCAAAGGGTAGTAAACGGTTCGGGATATTGGTGGAGGGTTTCTTGAAGCTATCATGCAGTGAATATCGAATTCATTGCGCCATAACCTGCAGTAACGCCGCACTGTCCTTTTGATATGTTCATTTTGACAATTCATCAGTTAAGAGACTGAGTGAGACGCCTGGCAACTGATGCCTCATCCAGTGAGCAGATGAATTCTTGCTTTCTTTGCTACTAAACAGAGTTGGGATTCACGTGTAAAATAAGTGAAGCAGAACCGCCACATCTGAAGAGTCCTGTTACAAGCAACCCCTTCCCAGCTGCCTCTACCTTCCCCGATCGGATGTTTGTCTGTGTTCAACATTAGGAGAAAGCTCAGTGACTCAGTTATCTTTGTGGCAACCTGCCCACTAGAACACAAGCAATGCTTGCGGGCCTGCTGAAGAGCTCGTCAGGTCGTTCACGCCAAATTTAAACATATCTGCAGCTGACATCTGGTACAGCACCAGATCAGCATTCTAGGACGTTTTGTTGGTTGATGGCGTCACCAAAAAGTGGATTGACGAGGATCGTGACATTAGTTGTGCTTTTGCTGCTCATTTTTTTTTGCAGTTGATCAGTCGGACTTGTTAATTGTGGTAAATCGGAGCACCTTTTAGCTTTTCATTCTCTATTTCGCTACAGAAGTGCATGTGTACAGGTTGACCGCTATCAAGACTCGATCAACAAAAGAGTCTAGCAGTAGTCGGGAATGAGAATTCATACAGGGAGAATTCCAGCAAAATAGTGGGCTTCTTTTTTATACACCATGCAAAAGAGTAGATGTCCTTACTTCTCAGTAGACGGCTCGTGAATACATCGGAATCCCGACTCATAGAAATAGGTGAGGCAGATATAGTGCTGTTACCACCGTCTCCTGCGCATCCATAGCTGAATAGTCTATTCGGAAGGAAATGATCCAGTTGTTGTTCGTAAATCTTTGACAATGCACGTTAGCTGAGATGGGGTATGCCAATTACCTCTAACATATGTATGAAGATCATGAACGAAAACTATGCAGCCCGATCAATAGGTACACCCATTATGCCATAGTTTTTGGAAAACTCACAATTTTGAGAACTAGCCAGCACCAAACATCCTAATCCAGCTTTTGCTCACTGCTGGCCAGCTGGATGGGTCGTTCCTGCCATTGCTGATAGAGCTAAGTGCGTTCGGAAAGGAGCGCAGATTGCCGTCTCTCGCACCATCACCTTGTACTGAACAAGACTATTAGATAATTTCTCAAATTGCACTTAGTATTTAACAAAAGCTGGGAAAGACATTGTCTGTAACGTGGACAATCCGTGGTGACATGAGCTATCGTTTATGTCACGGGTGCAGCGAAAATCTGTGAGGGCTGTGTTGTAGCTGTGTCGATTGCTCCATTTCTTTACTCATACCAACTCTCGATACACACGTTTTTTGTTTACTTATGATCAACTAGTCATATTCCTGATGGACCTCACCATAACTAGAGACCGTAAATTAGAACATGCAGATACGGACAAGTGACAAAACATACACGACCAGACGCAATTGGAATAGAACTCCGACTAGGTATTGGGTTTTCAACCGATTGCTCATTACATACAAATCAGAAAACTGTTCGCTGATGATTTTCGCATCCAACCATTTTCAGTTTAGTTCAGTCCTACTTAACAGCCAGAAACTAAGTACCAAGGGTGCTCTGGTTCCAGCTGTTACAGTTTCTGTCACCGAAAAATGGGACAGCGGGGGAGGTATGATCAATCAATGGAGGCAATGGCATACTCAGTTAGTTAACATTGATCGTGACTATGCAATTTATGGTTGTATACGGGGTGGGATACTGCCGTGGGGCCAACACCGTGACAGAAGGACAATTAGGGTTTTCAGCCTAAGCCATTGGCTCAAAAGCTGAACCGAAAGGAAGCCAGAGTAGTCAAAAATTTTAAGTAGCAATTCGCCACACATATTCCAACCCTTAACCTGGAGTACCGGAAGACTGTTAGTCAAACTTCTACACACTGATCAACCTGCTAAGCGGGACTCTGTGAGTACCTATACTCCCTAATATGACCTAATGGATTATGGAGATGCACAAACCGTAACGCCGTGGTGGGCAACAGTCTCTTCGTGAGGGATTTAGTTCGAATCCGTCTAGCAATATGGACAAACAAAAAACTTCGAAGGTTCGGACTGAAGACGATGACGTTGATGCAGGAGCACCACTGACTGTGTGAGTGACCCATGTCTGAGCCACTTTTGTCAGTGTCACTAACCATTGGTGAGTTGAGTCCCGGGATCCCCACCCAGGGAGTCAGCGGTTGCTGACCTGACTAAGTTGGTGCTTTCATAATTCGTTGCCAGGTCATAACCTGTCCACACCTCAGTCGCTTTCACTCAGCACAGGGCTGGGCAAAAAGAGCTCTGTAAAACAGACGGTCCTCTGGCGCACAAAGTACATATCCTAACAAGCATAACTTATGGATGAGTAGTTCATCTATCTGAAACCATGTAATGTACCTCAGAAATGCTAATCGTTGTTACCATCAGACCCGGGGCAATGCTTCGGAGACACCGATGTTCAGACGCTGACAGTTCTCGCATGTTCATTGCGTGCAGAGGTCACGTTTCTCATCTGCAATGCAGTAGGGGTCTTATTGCCGCAGCGTAAACCCTGTCCTTAACAGACGAGCTGACGTCACGCTGGCGTCACAGATCTCGGAAGTTGGCAAAAGCTGACATGGTCCACCCGATTAGATGAGTTATCTCATCTCTAGCCAGTCCACCAGAACTTATACAACTGCCCAGGTAGGCATAGTTATTTATCACGTCAATTAGCTCGTCTGCGAGCATGAGGCTTGGGTTTGATCCCACCCAGTCTTGTAGCAGCGGTTTAAACTTTGCAGGTATGAAGCGCAGGTCAAACTGGCTTATTTAAAATAGTTTGGATTTAGGAGCTGAACCAAAAAGAGTTATATCCGCATACTCCATCTGTAGGCGAATTTCCCAGGAGCACTTCCACCCCCCAGGTTTCAGAGGAAATGTGAGGGATGACAGCCTTGGCTTACACACTGGACGCGGTGAACTCAGACGACGTACACTCGCGTCCGTCGACAGGAATTCACATACGGTGACCTTATAAGGCATAGAAATTCGGAAGAGGCACGTTTATCGCCAGGCACCGCTATTCTTTCTGATGACCTACTTGGCCGAAAACAAACTTGAAGCCAGAAGAAACCATCAGCACTGAATGTGTTAAAACGTGGCGCTGTTCGAGAACTTATTTAAGGTATAGATTGGGTCGATGCACACTCGATCAGGGCGATGTCCAATTTGATTCTCAAAAGTCTGTCTCACCCGATGATCGATCAACCTGTGCGAAATAGCGTCAGAGAGCACCTTGGATGCCACGGTAATCACGGTGGTCTCACGACTAAAAGGCCCCACCCCACTGGTTGCTTTAGATCCGCAACTTTCGTAAACTAGTGCGAGTCATGGAAAGTGCATGACTCGACAGATCTTCTCAGCTGAACCCAGTGCAATGAATGAGTAACACGGGGTTTATTAAAAGACCAGAATACGCACCTGATAGTTTTTGACATGTAGGTTAAAAAGCTGCGTGTTATTTCCCTGCACTGTGATAACCGAATAGACCTGGATCATCGAATGTGCCGTGTTATGTAGTGCCCCGACAACAAATACGTACAAGTCTGATTCAGAATGACTTGTCTGCCTGAGGTTTGCGAATGGGGCAGCATTAGATCAACACAAATTTTGGTCCTAGAAATCTATCTGTAGTCACATTTTTTACGTCGACAGCCGCGATACTGAACATTCACGATTTATGCAAATATCCGAATTGTGGAAGCGAAAAAGACTACCGGTTGTACTCTTCAATCAGGTAGTTTTTGTACTACCGAACTAAATCGTTGAGACCACCGATTATACCGTGATCATAATAGTTTGTGGAGGAATGAACATAGTCCCCGGACTACAGACGAGCGAAATAAGTCAGAAAATAGGATAAGAAGCAAATCATTACAACTTCTTAGACGAAGTTGTCAAACGTGAAAATCCTCAATTCACGGCGCGGAAAACCCGGAGATTCTAGTAACGATTCATCAGAACAGTGTGCACTAAAAAAGGCAGTTCGCCGCCACTATGTGCATCGAATTTAAGAAAAGACTGAATAGGCCCAACTATTCCACTGTCCAGCCATTCACGCGTGATATGACAATCATAGTCAAGCATGTTGGTAGTTTTAAATTACCCTACCTGTTCATGGCCAGGTTTTATTTTATCGGGTTTAGATAGGCTATGCGACTTTTAGGTGATCCACAAACTGCTAAACGCGAACCTACTCTGTGCAGTGGAGAGGGTGATCAGTGTGGTTTCAACGAACAGCCAGCTCATAAATGGCTCGAGGACCGAAACTGCCACACTATTCAAGTCTAGATACGAGCAATCGAAACACCAGTGGTGGGTCTAAAACAAAACTTTTCGGTCAGTAGTTCGGTACTTAAACTGTGCGCTATAGAGGGTTTAAAAGTAGGGATGTGAAACTCCATCGAATGTAATCACAACTCAATAGTCCGAGAGTTCCGTGAAGAAAGTACAGGACTAAATCGCCCACATGGGGGAAACAAATAAAATGGGAAGAAAAGTGAAAAGCGGAAGACTGCATGGCACCCATCAGCAATGTTTTTGCTGAAACCACCAGCTAGATACTATGGAGAAGTAGGGAACTCACCTCTGTTCCGTCTACGAAAAATTCAGCGATCAACTTCTTCAGTGTCTCCAGTTCTTCGGGAGAGGATTCGTTTGAATTGAGGGCTTCTTCGGCGAACTCTCGACGTAACGAATCGGTGCATTTTTCTCCAGCATCAACCATACCCTGAAATAAATGGCGTGAGAGGCGGTGAAAAGGCAAGTGCTTTAAGACTAGAGGGGAATGATAAACCATGGATAGTACAGATGAGAGATAGCCCAAGTGGTTAGAGCGCGAACTGACCGGAAGGTCCGTGGTTCGAACCCGACATCTGCCTCTCGAGTTTCCCTGTCTAGGCTTGGGCGATAGGGGAGTATCTCAGCCCTCGTGCCTCCTTCGGGTGGCATGGCAGCTAGGTACCGGAACGCTACAGCTGAGCGTTTTTTTACGGATGAAACTAAACGGCTTATGAGGCGAAAAGCCATCGGTACTGCACGATTAAAGTGTGCTGTTGACAGTAACAGACGGCGCAATACTGTATCGACAGCCTTATCGTTTACTAGTATGCCAATACAGGCGCTTGCTCCATTACCTAAATAATATGAACAATATGCTTGTAAGTATCCCAAAAGTCATTCAATGAGCCAGTCAACACCGGATAGTGGCACTGACTGCGTAATGAAGCCTAAGCAACACTGCAAGCGAACCTAACGGTTGTAGAGCGTTCAATTCCTAACCAGAAGGCTACAGCTATATATATATATATATATATATATATATATATATATATATATATATATATATATAATATATCGTGATTCTGAGATTAGTAGTGCAGATAATTTTCAGCAGCATGGGTCACTGTCGTTTGGGACCACAAAACCTGCAATTGGTAGTCAGAAAAGTAAGACAGTTGTTGTACGGACTGCTAAGGCGCTGATCTTATCCGTCAGTTACTTCTGATCGACAAATCAACTTCATGACAGCTCAACTGTTGAGTGTCAATGTATAGCTCCACGGCAACACGCTATTTTGTTCGGCAGCTGTTGTCTTCCTAAACGTGGTGGAGTGCAGCATGTACTCTCACTATAGAAGTTCACGAAATGTGCATACTGTGTCAAACAACAGGGTAAATCACTGGGATTGAAAATACACTTTCGCGGTGCAGATGCGAAAAAGTTCATCTCGCAGTCCAGTGAAAATGAATGCTTAACTTCTGCGGCTCCGCATTCGTCAAACAAACTTCATTTTTAGGGAAGATCGTTCCCACGGTCAAATAAGCTTGGTTCGAAATTATTAAACACGGAAGGTCAGGTTTTTCAGAATGGCAACTTTCGTACGAAGACCAGTAAAACACATACCTCGGACTGTCTACAGAAACCTCAATTATTGGTTTGAAAAAAAGCAGACCATATCTTTGAAGTTCGCATGACCAAATTCGAAAACTTTATCGCGCTAGAAGTGCACCGATACATCATACAATTGAGAAGACCTGGCTAATTCATATCATCTGATGCTATACTCCATTTTCAGAATAGCTGGTGTTTGGTGTTATACGAGCGTCTATTGTTAGTTCGACCGAGATATGGCTTAAAAGGAAAAGGAAGGTAATCGGCATAGAATTATAAATCAGAGGTTATAGAGGCCTACTCGAGGCTGGTGTGACCTAGTGGGTTTACTCCTCCTCGAGTTCAATCATTACAGCGTTTCGGAAGGATCCTGTCACCGAGTAAAACATGCCAGTGCTGGTCGTGGTTAGACACGGTTTACAATGGAAAGTGGGGTAGCTAGAGCTTCCCTTATTCGAATGAAGAGCTATCAACAGCTGACTGCACACAAGATCGAACTTCTATTCATTGGTTCTCCTCCAGGTTACCGTAATATTATCATTAGAGCGTTGTAGAGCCATAGCAAAGAGCTGTTTTTTATTGTATTGTTTGTAGCCATGGTCCCGGTTCCATTAGTATTAAGCTGCCAAGTCAGTGACGTCCATGTTAGACAAGTTCGACGTCATTTGCCTGACTCCATGACGTACTGACCAGTGTACCTCCCATCTCATCTCTTCTTTCTTTGTAAGGAGCAGGGACCCATTCTTGTGGTATACGAAATCACCACAGTTTGTTCCATATCTGTCCCAGTTAGGAATACAGCTGTCCGCCAACAAAAACGAGTACTGAGGTGTTGCAAGTGTAGGTAGGGTAATACTTAACAACCAACAACTTGCGCACATTAACAAATCTTTAGATTATTTAATAGTAGTGCCAGTAGTAGGAGCGTACTAATAGTTGTAGTCGGCGAACTGGAACACCTCCATGTGGTATCGACTGGGTAACCCGGACGTCAGTCTGGGTGAGCTAAGAGCTCAGCAACTCCAGACAGGGTTAACTATTCTGTTTGGAATCAACGCGCTGGCTGCTTTCGACAACACGAATTATCTGGAGCCATGCGGCATCTGGATTCACCTGTCGGGTATTGGACAAATGTTCGAAATGAGACACGTCATGAGGACGACATTCCATAACAAAATGTGAACGGTCGAACCGTGCCGCTTGATGACGTGAAAGTGGTCTCGACACCGATGACCAAATGTCGGCGTTTTCGGTCTCGATAGCACGTCATTATCGCAATTCCGTATGAGAGAGCCAACCACATGTAAAAATCAGTCACGAGTCCGCATTGCTACAATGAAGTATAGTCAGATGTAGATGCTAAAGATTACCACGAGAAAACGTGAACGTGGAACTAATCCTGTTCGTAACGTTTCGAAGTACATGTCCCCGACAAAGTAAACGGCTGACTTCGGGTGGGCCCTGGATGGCCCATTGAACGTCAGCGACGAGTCTCTACGGGAACGGATCCAAAGAACAGCTTCAGCTGCTAAAACGCGAGACAGAGAATGTTGTCTCCTGTGCTAACCAGCCAAAGCACAGGGTGTTCTTATGTTACCGCAGTCAACTAACCTTGCCAGACAAGTGGTATAGGTTAGATCCACACCGATTACCTCAGGATAGCGCTGATACGATTGTCTGTTGAAGTGTCATATAATCACCCGGATCCACCGGATGATTGTGCACAAGCATCTCACTGATGTGGTAAAAACCCGTACAAACGATTAGCGCTGAACAATTGGCATCTCGTGTGACCGAATGGCTTTTGCCAGGGAATTCGGTAATGCTATAGAGATTGTTCTTTTTTGATGCAAGTATACACATTCTTTTGCACAATATTCCCTTCTTTCTTAGTGCTTCTGATGCCAATGGCCCCTGTCCCGTGTTGGGGACTGCCGTTAAATCCGAAATGTAGTCCAGCGAACGTCGCGCGAAAGCCACTCATTTCAGACATGTTTTCACAAAAAATGAGGACTGGGCCCGCGATTGGTAATAGTACATAGTTGGCTGGGTGACATACTCCCACAATACTGATTGACTACATTGGACTGGGTAGGGAGAACAGCGTTTAGGAGTATGGGTTTCAGAGGGGTGGGAGGACAATTTGAGGAAGACAAGATCATATGGGGTAGTGGACAGACTGGACTTACACAGTTCAAGAACGCAAACCTGTAGTAGGAACCGGTCGCGAATAGAAAGAGAGAGAAATCAGAGGGATGGGATGGATGATGGTAATTTCTGGGTTAGGAAACCAGGATCTCCGCGTCTCACAGGTTGTATTCGGCCCTTGCGAAGGTCAAAAGAACATGCCTGAACAAACATCTGTTCTGTGGACAAGTTTATGTCAAACATTCAAAAGGCGTCAAAAAATTGCTCCGGTAGTTTCATGATGCACAGAACCAACAAATTCTCTCACAGCAGACACCAAAGTAGTCAAGCTGACGGAGGTTAACTGCTTCTGTTCATCCATACAACAATTTAGTTCAAAAAGACACTGAAAACAACAGGCAACAACGACAGAACTCACTCCAGGAAAAGCCCACTCTCCACAATCGCCGCGTTGAATAGCAACAAATTGGAGGACAAAACGCTTGCTAGCGAGGTCGAAAACGCGCTCGCCTGATAAGTTGGTTTTCCATCTAAAAGAAGGGAAAACGATAGTAAGCAAAGTGACAAAAAGTGCGACTCCAGAAGCGCGCCAAATCAAGGTTTGAAAGGTCCCAATATGTTTTCAAAGGGCGAGAGTTTGAAACAACGGTTAGCAGCATCATTGAGATACCATCTAGATTAGTGTCCCTCCAAAGGTGCGATGTAGCAAAGTTGGGTAGAACGGGCGATGTGAAATGTAAAAGGGATACATTTGCTATCGTGAGCACTAGTGATCAACTACTACAAGTAATAAATCAACCGTCCGTTTACTAAACCTCTCCACAACTATCATTCTTGTTTCTTTCATGAAAATGTCAATTTCGGTTGTCATGTGCACGCAGTCTATACCTTTTTCACTCTAGAATTTCTCAAAATCACAGTAAGTTGCCCTAAAAATGTTTGAAGGAGTTCCGAGATCAATATAAACATGTGCCGAAGCCACTAAGAAAGTGCTCTGATAGTAATTTTATGGTCTCTCGAGGTGAAGCTAGCGTACCTTAAAGGATGAGAAATAGTCGCGTGCGCGCTATGCCGTGCAACACTTTTCGCGGATTCTGGAAACTAGACAGCCGGCTCAGATATGAGGACAGTCAACGAATGCACTGTATAAGCATACGCACACAAACACACGCATGCACCTTCCACTTAAAATGGGATGACTTCATTCGTTACCTCCAGATCAACCGATGTGTCGCAGATTGGCTGGAAGCAAGAGCTTATTGCAATAGTCACTTGGATCCGATCCAAATTCAATGTCTTGCTGATCCAGAGATTCTCAAACAAAAGGTGCGAGAATGGCTGTGTAAGAATGGCTTCATGGGATAAAGGTATCCTCCTTCGAAACTTCGGTTGTGAGTGCATGTATTTAGATATTTCACTCACTGGATGTTAAGTCTTCTGATATTCTTCTATAATGGCAGTCTAAACGAAAAGCCGATTTCCCCGAGTTCCCTGCTCTCCTTCAATGTGTAGCATGAAGGTGAAACATTATTACGGTCGGGGGCGAGATGGCCCAAGTGATTAGAGCGCGAATTTACTGACCGGAAGGTCCGTGGTTCAAACCCGACCTCCGCCTCTCGACTTCCCCTGTCTAGGCTTGGGCAATCTGGCAGTATCCCAGCCCTCGTGCTTCCTTCGGGTGGCATGGCAGCTGGGCACCGAAAGGGGGCTACATCTGAACGCTTTTTTTATTATTACGGTCAAAACGAGTTGAAGACAGCTAACTCCTTTGCTAGAAAATCACTGAGTGGTTCTTTTCGGACACTTATGTGGTCCTACAGCTTAATTTGATTTGGCGTGAATTCAAAACCGAGTATGAGCGTACAAGACCCATCTTGCTGATCAATGGTTACTCGCTTTACAGCAAAGGTGACCTGAAGCAAGTTAGTAAGAGAAAAGTCAACTGATAACATTCAGCTGGCAGTCCTGCACTATCGGATTTTGTTTCAGTGGGGTTAACAAGACAGACTTGTGAGACTGTTCTCCCTACCCTCTGGAAAGCTGTTGCGTTGTATGTACTCCTCACGGTGAAGACCATGGCAATGCTATTCTTTGTTTGGTAACAGTCTACTCAGCAACGACAAATGGAAAAAGCTACTGTCAGCCAGTACAACACTGCGCCGGCGGTCATCCGTTACTATGCTCAAATCCAGTCAGGAGGAAAAAGGGTGAAGAGCAAATCAAAGTGATCAGCGACCTTCAGCTCCTGCCGTTAGTTCGCGCTTCAATACCGTCCTTGTTATAGGTTGTGATCCACCTAAAGGCAAACGAAGGCGTGATACACTGATGAGTCGCCCATTCCGCTAATTTATGAACCTTTAGGTCGAACAGCGATGATCTTTGTCACAATAAGACATACATTAGGTTGTTCAGCTACGTGATTGGTTAGCGCTGTCATTTGATTCTGCTGGACATTTAGCTTGTTTTGTTGTCAGGATGGGTGGAGGAATATACAACTGCCGAATGCGGACATCAGTTAAACGACAAAATCGCTCATTCGATTAAATGTTAAAAGCCATTTTCCAATAAACTGACAGAATCAACATATTCCGATATGGGCAAAAAAGGTTCTGGTGTGAACTGGGCATTCAACTGCCATTTCTGCTGATGGACGTCGAATCATTATACTTGCACTCTTGAGAACGCTTCGAAAGCGATTCTCGTAATTTGCTGAATCCACAGGTTTTCGGTCGTTGGGTTGACTAAGGGAATGACGGAAATGCACTGCTTCAATGGGTGTGACCGAATTCTCGCGACCAACAAACTCGTTTGACTGTCGTCGTTGAACGGATCATGAGGTTCTTCTTTAACAGTGGAATGAACCACAAGAACTTTGTTGCCAAACTGAACACCTCACCATTTGGAAACAATTCTAGGGTCTGCTGTGGATTTCAACAACAAACACCAAATACAGAAGAAAAGAGCACCAACCTTGTACCGATAAACAGGGGGTTTCAAGTAAAAATATGTTGTACCGTGAATGGTATTCTTCCTGTTCTCAAGGGGAAAATAACAGAACCAGATAAAATTCCGAAGGTGTGGACAGCTAGGTCAGCTTAGGATATTAAAAACCGGTAAAACATTTTATGAACGTCTGTGCAAAAGCCGGCTTCCGTAAGTTAATTCAATGGAGCAAGGGATGCGTGTCTGGTCTAGTTGAATTTTGGAAGAAGCGACCTTGTATGGGTATTATTGGCGTCTAGATCATATGTTTCGAACGAAATACCTGTTTGTCTAAGAGTAGCCAGAAGCGGTGGTTCCTATCGTAGAATGGCATATACATGAAAAATACTTCAGCCTGGATGAAAAAGTCCTCCACTCCTCGGACGCACCACTCTTGGGTAGCGACCTACTTCTGATACTGAAAATGATTTGGGACAAGAACATTTAGTTTCCTTGTTTGCAGCAGCATTGTGTACCTCACACTGATGGCTTTCGCTACATTCTCTAAGCTTTCATTTCGGTTGTGCAGATAATCCCCAATTATACACTTAGTTTCCTATAATCTTGATATGCAGGTTGGTATAGCTGCTTGGGGGTCATCTGACAATGATAACCAAATTAGACTTGCTTATAAATCTGTCTGCCTCGGGCAACAATCTGCGCAGACTTCACTGCTAAATGTCAAGCGTAAGGAGCTTTAATAAACGGCGTTCATGAAATGGGCTCACTTTGTAGGAGTTAACTACAGTGGGACAAAACACGTGGAATGGGAAAATGCCGGACAAAAGACCAAACAGGAAAAAATTTGACCTAAAAAATTTACGCATGCACAACCCCCGGTGTTACATCTATCCTTGGGAATAAATGATCCTTTAGTGTGGCTGGAGTGTGGTATGCAAAGTTCACTTGGGTGACAGAATAAGTAACACTACATATTTACCTGGTCACAATTGGATCCGCAGCGTGGTTCGGGCCCCATCGACCAAGGGAACCACGACCAGTTATACCTGTCCGGCCTCGTGGATTCAAAGGAAGACCCTCAGAGTTCAACTGATAAAGACCCATATAGCTTGTCCGATCTACCTTTCCATCAAGCGCATTGAATTTGAGAGATATTTCGGGTGACGTTCTAGGGAAACGCAGAAAAATGAGACGAATCAGTCATATAACTAAAGATCATCACGAACGAGAGATTCAGCTGGATTCCAGGTGAGCATCTCGTCAAAACCGAATTGCTATGTATCGCTCAGCTGTAAACCCTTCTAGTGCCTAGCTGCCATGCTACCCGAAGGAAGTATGAGGGCTGGGCTACTGCCAGGTTTCCCAAGCCTAGACAGGGGAAGTCGAGAGGCAGAGGTCGGGTTCGAACCACGAACCTTCCGGTCAGTAAGTTCGCGCTCTAACCACTTGAGCCATCTCGCCCCAAATTGGTACGTAAATGAGTGTATAAAGAAAGCGTGTTTACCAGATGATGATGATGATGAGCTATCATCAACTGGTTTAACAAGGGCAAGAGTGGCCCAATCACCTACCGGATATCGGGGTCTGCCCAGCTTTTCCCATGTACCTTTGGATCAGTATAATTGATGGGCTGATAGGCAGCCCAGGAAATTCGCCAATCAACATATTCATCTGGGACCAGGACACGCTGCAATCCGTTCGCCAGCGGGTAAGCTGAATTGCGGCATTTCGTGTGAAGCGCTGTGGAGGCAGACATTCGAGAAAAGTTGTGCAGCTGAAAGAGTTGGGGAGATACAAGCAGCTACTTACTAGGCGACTGTTTAGCAGTAGCGTTATCAGGCTCAGAAAAAGAAATACCTTCCAGAGCTGGAAACAAAACAAAAGACGCTGATAATCGAATAAAAAAAGAGCAGCCTGGAACATTTCGGAGCAGGGTGTTCATTACAGTGAAATGTCCCTCCGAGAGCCAAAATCTACCCCGATGTCTCCGCACAGTATGAAAATTGACTACGACAGAACAAAACCTAGAACGGAAATCGGTGAGTGACCACGCTCCAGCATTCAACAGGGACATTAATAAAATTAACAAAAAGCATGAGAAATGCCATAAAAATTCTAACAGGATAAACTTACCAACACTACTGTGTACAGGAATTCCCACACAGTTGGTATACACCTGATGTATAGATGTTCCCAGTTAATTTGTCTGGCTCACTGAAAGACCTGCTATCTTTTCGCGTCAGATAACTTTTCCTGAAACGCATCAAACCGTCCATCATGTCGTCTAATCTGTCGGTCTCACTGTGGACTTCTTAGTCGTACCACTTAATCGCAGCCAGATACCAAATTGGTATGGTGTAAGGCAAGCTGCATTATCAGGTGTGCGAGCCGTAGTTCGATAAATTTTGCATGCTGCTGCAACCAGGCAACGATAGCTGAACGTGCTAGTCATATATCTCTAATTGATAGTGAACCGATGGTCACAAACCGTTCTGTGAACGAATTTTCACGAAATGAAACCTAGGGGTATTAGACTTTGGAAAGACAGTGGACAGACACTTGAGCCATCTCGCCCTCGAGCGCAAAATTGTGTTCACTGATCCTCCGTGGACTGCAACGGGATGATTTCAAACAGCTAGTTACCTTAGCTAGCTGCGCTGCTAGCCATAAATTGGGCACGTTTTACTTTCTAAGGCCTCAGCACACAGATGCTCCATGTAAGACCTGAAGTCTGATTGGAGAATAAGTGCACCAGTAAAGTCAATCCGACGGTTCTGCTCAAGTGCATAGAGGTCTGTGGTGAGATCACATTAAAACTTTATTCCTTTGGTGGGTCTCTAACGTGGGAACCTGGGATGACATTTGTGTTTCACTGTTCGTGATTGTGGTCGTCTGACCGTTCGTCCGATATATTCGGCCGCAACCGTGAAACGGATGTTGTGTACAAAAGTGGTGGGGTGTTGTGGAGCACTAATATCTTTTGCCTTTACAAAATGATTACGGCGGTATTGCTGACTCGATGACAAGTCTATTTTTTTAGGACTTCATGATGTTCTGAGGTTTCTGGCCTAAAAGGTGTACCAACTGAAGCCACTAGTCTAATTTTTCTGTTTTTCTGGTTTCGATGTTGACTTGCGTACCCGTTGCCTTTAGGGAAATCATGAAATCCTATGGAGCAGACAAGCATTATCAAGTCCATAGAACTAAAAAAACACCACGTAAGATCAGCTGATGCTACCGTTCAGCACACCAATAGAAAGCGAGTCCAGTGTATGTACAAAAACACCCTAATGATAGGCTTATTTCAGAGTGCGAACGTTAAAAACTGTCCGACGAACTGATTGCCGGGGTTTGAAGGGTGATTTTGAAGTGCATGTCACCATGGCGGCCGAATCAACGGTTGCATGACAGCTAGCAGTAATGGAGGCGAGCGGATCTGTCAGTCTCTAAGAGTGGGCCTATGGGGATGTCGCCAGAAACGGGGTGAGGATGGGGAGAAGCCCAATATACGAAAAGAAGGAAAAAAGCCGAATAAACCTCGATGGAAAGTATCATTCTCAGCATCAGAACTACAGCCTATTGTGGCATATACTGACATTACAAACAGGTGCCGGTGTAACGGTGATACTACTGATCGAGGGGCACGCGAGTAGTATGTGTTGTCCGTAGAATTTCGCTTTGCGTCGATTGAAAAATGGAATTCTGTTGCGGAACTCGCGGGGCCACTTTGTAACATTTGCTTTTATTTGACCGACGAATGATTGGAGGCAATGAATCTCCAGGAAGACTCGTTCGGGAGAAGATCTGTGTCCAGGTTTTGTAACTAAGGTGCAGATTAGAGTTTTGCTTCCTTGTTCAATGGTCTGTAACCGGTCAGTTGGCATTTCCGAATAAATAACTCCGCAGCGAAGGCCTTCTTCTTTTCACCGGTACTTATAGCGAGTAGCCCTGAGTGTGATCGAGCTGGATAACCGGACGGTTCAAAGTAGTTGGATTTTTTCACATATCATCCATAAACCATGTAGAACGACAGCGAAGCATCAGTGTTGAATGCTGATATCGTGCTGCCCATAATGACGATGATGGTGGTGGTGATGGTGATGATAATGATGAGTACATTGGATCCAGCTGTTACAGTTTCAAACGTCGGAAATGGGGAGAGTGTGGAAGATAGAGCCAAGCATTGGGGAAAGAAAAAAATCTTTCAGGTGTAGCATCCTTTCGGTGCCTAACCGTCATGCCACCAAGAGGCAATGAAGGCCATTGAATGATTAATTAGTTCAAGGACTGGGTAAATACACCCGAAAGAGATGGCTTTGAAACTCAAGTGCCACCGCCTGCGCTATGTGACCATTTCTGTCAGTGTCATTAACTACTGGTGAGTTGAGTCCTGGGGACACCATATTGGGGGGCGGAAGTCATCGACCCGACTGAGTTTGTGGGATCGTGTTTTTATACTTCATTGCCAGGTCATAAGCTGTCCACATCTCAGTCTCTCACTCAGCACGCGGGTGGGCACGAAGAGCCCTAAGAGACAGACGGTCCTCTGGCATGCGGAACACATATCCTAACAAGTATAACCTACGAAGAGTGAGTAATTCATCCATCGTGAAAGTGTTTCTCCTTCCTAAAACCATGTAGCGCACCTTAGAAGTAATAATCGGTGTTACCACCAGACCCGGTCAATATTTCGGGGAAATCAATGTTCAAACGCCGACAGCTTTCGCGTGTTCACTTCGAGTAGAAGTCACGTTTACGGTCCGCAAAGCAGTAGGGGTTGTACTGTCGCAGCGTAAACTCTGCCCTTAACAGACAAACTGATGGCACATCGGCGTCATAGACGTCGGGGGGTGACAAAAATTGACATGGCCTTCCAAATTCGAGAAGTAAACTCCCAACTTATACAACTACCCAGGTAGGCGTAGTTATTCACCACGTCAATCAGCTCGTCTGCGAGCGTGAGTAGTTATTCACCACGTCAATCAGCTCGTCTGTGAGCGTGAGTTTTGGGTTTGATCCAACCCGGTCTTGTAGCAGCAGGTATGAAGCGCATGTCAAACCGTGTGGTAAAATTACAGGTGTGAAGCGCATGTCAAACCGTGTGGTAGAATTATTTAGCTTATTTAAAATGGTTTGTACTTTCGAAGGATCTGAATCAAGAAAAGCGATATTGTCCGCATACTCCATGTCTGTGAGCTAACGTCCCGGGAGCACTTCGACCCCTGAGGTTTCAGACACCTGCAGATAAATTTCAAGCAGCACATCAATAACAAATTTGAAGAGGAAAGATCAGAGAGACCAGTCTCATCTTACTCACAGAACGCGGTGGGCTCTGACTGAAGCCTGTTGTACATTTGTATTCGTCTACAGGAGTTTGCATACAGTGACTTCGTAAGGCACCGAAATTCGGAAGAGGCACCGCCATTTTCTCTAACGACCTACACAGCCAAAACAATCTTCAGCCTGGGTGCGCTAAAAAGTGGCACTGTTCGAGAACTTATTTAGGTATAGATAGGGTCGATGTACCCTCGACCAGGTTGATGTCCAGTTTGATTCTCACGAGTCTGTCCCGCCCGATGATCGATCAGCCTGTGCGAAATAAAGCCAGAGAGCGTCTTGATGTCACGAATTCCTTGTGCCCTTCGCGAAGATCAGGATGATGGTTGGGGCGCTCCATTCTACTGGTATTCTGTTTTCGTTCAAATCTTCTGAAGTACTGTCTTCAGTTTGTTAATCAGGACTTCACCAACTTCTGTGAAGGTTGTGGGTGCAGCCCGTCCGGGTTAGGTGCATTGTTCCGTTGGAAAGGTGAAATATTCCACCGGATTTCTGTTGCCAACGGCGGGCTGGTGTCGCCGTTCCACTCAGGCCCTCTGGATGCCTCCAGTGGTTGTGTTGAACTGTTACTTGTTCAAAACGACGATATGATGAATGAATTGCCATTTCATCTTCTCTGCATACCATTTAGCCGACATTTGTCTTCTTTTGGCCGGTTGATCGAACCAGCCGAAATAGGGCACAGCTGTTGCCTGCAGCAAAAGCCCTCTTCGATTCCTGGATCTTCTATATCCACCAGCGTTCTCTGTCATTCTTCAAGCTCTTCAATATCCATTGTTTGAGGGATTTGCTCGTGCCATCATAGTCGCCAGCTCCTGGTATGGCCTTCCTGCTTGCTGATCTCGAAGATATCCGGTGTTCATTTAGCCGAGACAGGTGTCTTGGATAGACAGTATAACTCTTAAGCTCGCTTCCATGCAACCTCCAAGCGATCTTCGTCATCCGCATGATTGGGCTTTTCTAGTAGCTTTCTAGTCAGATCAGGACGATACTCTTGAGCTACCGAAATTCGTCGAAGTTGATTAATGGACTTGTTCTGTCTTGGCACGCGTAATGCTGACGGAAAGCGGAATATGAGGGCCCACAAAGTGGCATGATTAATTTCAAGTTGCATGCCCCAGAAGGAACAGTAGTCTTTAGTGGAGGTAACTGATGGCCGTGTAAAAAAATCGTTCAGCTGTAGCACCCTTTCGGTGTCTAACTGCCATGCAACCCGAAGGTTTCACAAGGGCTAGGATACTGCCAGGTTGCTCAAGCCTAGACAGGGGAAGTCAAGAGGCAGAGGGCGGGTTCGAACAACGAACCTTCCGATCAGTAATTTCGCACTCTGAACACTTCGGTTGTCTCGCCCCGACGTAGGCCAATGTATTTATCAAAGCCTTCAGGCCAGGATGGAATGAACTTCGAGGAGCGGAGCGACGGAGTGGCTCAATTTCCTGGTAAATTTATGTCTGTGAAAGCGTTGACTCTCCCCTGAATCAACGGCAATCAGCAATTCCTTCTACTTATTCCGACTACTCATGAGTGGTGTGGTTTGCTGTTATAACGCCGTGTTGCTTTACTGCTGCTCGATCTTCGCTGTTTCTCACTCCTAAGGTCTGCTTTAATGGGTATTTGATAATACGCACTTTCAAGATCAAGCGTGCTGAAAATACGATATTGAGCTATTTTACTACTTAAATCTTCAAGTCTGGGGGG